AAGCACCACGAGGAGACAACGGACCACCCAAGCACCGACATCTCGAGTCCCACCCCCAAGCTTGGACCCCAGAAGCTTCAAGAGGCTCAGAACAGCGCAGGGAACCCAGGGGGATCCCCCGTGCCGTCGAGACACCCGCAAGATGCCCCCCAGTCCCTCTGTACCAAGATGCACGAGCAGCGCACGAGGAGGCGGAGGAAGGATGGGGAGGAGGAGGATGAGGAGGGAGGAGGAGGGAGGTAGGCGAGAGGTAGAGGAGGAGGAGGAGGGAGGAGGAGGGAGGAGGAGGGAGGCGGAGGAGGAGGAGGAGGAGGAGGAGGAGGAGGAGGAGGAGGAGGAGGAGGGAGGAGGAGGGAGAAGGTGGAGGAGGACCAGCACAAGCCCAAGACGCATCAACGAGGTTGTAATACACCGTCCTCCCTCCAGGTTCCCTCTCCACAGGTTCGCACGGAACTGCTCGTCATTCTGGGAAGTGGCTTATTGCCTATTTGAAGACAGCCGCCTGATGATCATCAGTCGTGCCAAAGCACCACTCCTGAACCTTCAACGCCGCGGATCAGCGTGACCGCTGCGCCCCGACAAAACTGCGTAATTCTTGCCAGGGCGCCATTCCTGACATGTTCACCATCAGTAATTGCTGCTGCGTCCTGGCAGTCCTCATCTGTGCTCGAGAATCCTTCCTGCGACTTCGACCGCACGAGTCTCTGAAACCGCTGCAGACGCGCAAGACGAACGCGCGCGGCGCTGAGCCGAGGGCCACGTTTTGAAAGCGACACGCACTCAATCCGTGAAGCTCTTATAGCTTGTTAAGACGAATGCGCGCGGCGCTCAGCCGAGGGCCACATTTTGAAAACGACACGCATTCAATCCGTGAAGCTCTTGTAGCTTGTTAAGACGAATGCGCGCGGCGCTCAGCCGAGGGCCACATCTCGAAAAGGAGCCGCCTTCCATCCATAAATCAGGGGCAGACCCTGCGGGCGAGCGCGCGCTGCGCCAGGGCGAGGGCCACACTCTGAGGTTGGGAGGGGCCCTCCGTCCGTCCAGCTGCCGTGGACTGTCCCAGGGAACGTGCGCGACCCTACCACGAGAGTCACAGTTTGAGATCGACTGGCGCTGCATCTGTCAAGCTGTTTGCATGTTGGAAGCGTCGATATCAGAAATGGCGAGGACGTCTCAGGCGAAGCGCCTAGCCCGCCCTGGTAACACGCTTGGGGGTGGGGCAGGGGGGAGGTGTTTATAAGGAAGAGGGATGGAGGAGGAAGATGAAGAAGAAGAAGAAGAAGAAGAAGAAAAAGAGGAGGAGGATGAGGAGAAAGAGAAGGAGGAGGAGTCGATACCGATTGTGGCGAAGGAAGGGGTAGAGTTTGTGGTCGTGGTCGTGCCGGCAAAGGTTTCGCGATCCGTAGCAGAATTGGCGGTGGGCGGGGTGATTGCCGTGCAAATGGTCACTCAAGAACGTAAGCTCTCGCAAAGTGCGCGTGCATCTTGTGTGCGTCAGTATACAAACACTAATTAATGAGTAATCTTTGCATCGCTTGGACGTGTGCATTTTTTCTCGGCGAGGAACCACGAGGACCATCCTGGACCATCGAGGAAACAAAAACACGCACGAAACCGCAAACATGCACGGGAAATGGACGTCCGAGCGACGGCGAGTAAGTACATGCATGAGAAACTGACCTGGGACAACCACCGGCGCGATCCGTTGCAGAATTGGCGGTGGGAGGGGTGATTGCCATGCAAATGGCCACTAAAGAACGTAAGCTCGCACAAAGTGCGCGTGGCTCTTGCGTGCGTCAATATACCGACACTACTTCATGAGTTATTACATACACGAACCCTCCTCCTCCCCCTCTCCTCCCAACTTTTTACGTGTCTCGCGCTGCACGAATCCAGACACCTCAGATCTTAGAGGCCATGGCCTCACCCACCTGGTCTGCTCTAGGCCCGGACGCTGTCCGCAACGGTGGTCGCATCGCATCGCATCGCATGCATGAGCAACTGGCCTGGGACAGCCGCCGGCGCGGCCGGGGAGCCCGGAGCCCGGAGCGCCGCAGGACGGCCCCGCAGAGGGCCCCGCAGAGGGCCTCAGTATACGGCCCGACGGGCGCCCCCAGACGGCCTCGATCGGCCCAAGAGGGGCCCACGATTCAGGAGGGGAAGAAACACACAGACACAATGAATCGTCGATCCCCCAGAAAACATAGGAAGATATTGGAATTGGGCGGGAAGACAGAAACCCAGAAAATATGGGAACATGTGGGGAATATGTTTGTTTGTGTGTATTTCTTGGTGTGTCCCAGGGCCCCTTCAAAGATGGCCACTCGACGGCCCAACGGTCTCCCCAGATGGCCCAAGGGGGCCCGAAGACGACTCCCAAGAGGCCCCTGGGAGGCAACAGTTGTGCGCTTTCCATGGGTTTCGGTGCAAGTTTCGCACACTCGGCTTTTCGGTCTCCAGGGCGCCCGAGATGGCCGACGAGGCCCCCGAGATCGCTCCAAGATGGCCCACTGAGCGCTCAAGAGGGCCCCAAGACGAGCCCAGGACGGCCCGACAGAGGCCCAAGACGGCCCCACGACGCTCCAAGAGGGCCTCCCGAGGGGCTCCAGACAGCCGAAGAGGGCCCAAAGACAGTCCAACTGCTCTCCCAGACCCCAGACCGCCCCAGAGCAGCCCCAGGAGCAGCCCCCAAGATTGCCCTGAGGGACCAAGACGGCCCCAGAGGCCCCCAAGACGGGTTGAAAACGGCCTGAAGATACTTTGCATTAGTACGGCGGCGGTCATTATATATATATATATATATATATATATATATATATGCATGCATGCATGCATGCATGCATGTATGTATGTATGTATGTATGGATGTATGTATATATGTATGTATGTATGTATGTATGTATGTTTGTATGTTTGTATGTTTGTATGTTTGTATGTTTGTATGTTTGTATGTATATATGTATACAATCACATCAAAACATAGAGAGATAATGATAGTGCGATCTGTATATATGTATACATACACACATTTACATATGTATAGACTGTATCTCTATATAGACACACACATAGATGTTTGGGCCTTCGGGGGCAACTATCGGGCCCCGGGGCCAAATATTGATCCGGTATGATGAATGAATTGTCCCCGGGGAAGTGGTCGGGAGCTCTGGGACCGCGGATGGAACAAAAACGCACGGTCGGATGCCACGTCTGGGACGGAAAATGATTGGCAGGCAGCTGCCTGGTCTAGGCTAGGCTACAGGGCGCGGAAGCACCGGTCCTGCTCGTTGGCGGATCAATGTCACAGAGAATCTTCCTGCGCCGCTGGTGACAAAAAAGAGCAGGGAAGGAGGACAGGAGTTCAGGCGGTGCGTAAAAAGAAGGGACATCGAGCAAACAGGCATAGCTCTTGCAGATGAACGCGCGATTTGCTTTAAAAGTGCACAATATGTGAATGAGAAGCGCCGCTGTGCTTTTTGTCCTCCCCCAAAGCCCTCGGCAAGCCCCCAAAAGCTTGCAGCTCGGGCAGGCGGCAATTCGGGTTTAGTTCATGATTGGTGAAGAAAGGCGTGTTTCGCCACCACCTTTTGCACGCGGGGTGCCACGCTCGGGCCACTGAGGAGATCCCCCTTCGTGCGCCCCGAGTGCCCGGCCCCTTTCTTGCCCCCCCCCCCCCCTTGAGGTCCGCCCGAGCGTTCCACGCTTCTTCTGAGGGCCCCACGGCCGGTGCCGCCGACCCTGAAGGCGGGACCTCCCCCAGAACCTTACCAGCCTCGAACTTATCCCTATCCCTAAGATTGACACGCCAAAAGGCGATGACAATCTTAGGGATCCGCCCTCAAAAAATAGGGGAATCCTTAAGATTGGCATCGTGATGAAGAGGTGTCCAGCGTAGGGATAAGGATATGTTCCGGGCTGGTAAGAACCCTTGCTGGCGACCCCCCCGCGGTACCCGCTGGGCTTCGGGGGGGGGGGCGGCAGTCCGACCCAGGATACCCCCCACCTCTCCTCCTCCTCCTCCTCCTCCTCCTCCTCCTCCTCCTCCTCCTCCTCCTCCTCGTCCTCCTCCTCCTCCTCCTCCTCCTCCTCCTCCTCCTCCTCTCCCTTCGTGCGCCCCGATTGCCCAGCCCCTCTCGGAGGGACGCCAACAATAAGCCCACCACCAGCTCTGGCCAGGTCCATCCTGGGCCCTGGACTGGCGTGCAGACCTCCAGGCCTGGGCCGGGAGAGCCCGTGCATCAGTCCAGGGCCCAGGATGGGCCTGTCCAGGGCTGGCTGGTGGTGGTGTGTGGTTTGGAGCTCTCCTACAATTGTTTGGTTATGTTCGAGCATTTTTGGAGCATTTTTGTTTTTCTTTTTTAGAATTTTTCGCCCAAAATGCCCTTGTATGTTTGGGGCATTTCTGGGGTACTTTTCACTCTTCGCCCGAAATCCCCTGTATGTTTTGCGGGCATGTCTGGGGGCCTTTTTTCATCCTTCGTCCAGACTCCCCCTGTAGGGGCACAGGCCCGACCCGATTCTTGCCCCCCCCCCGCCTCGTCGCCCCCCGGCGCCTGGGCCTGCCTGGCCTCCCCCTGTAGGGGCACAGGCCCGACCCGATTCCTGCCCCCCCCCCCCGCCTCGTCGCCGCCCGGCGCCTGGGCCTGCCTGGCCCGTCCGGCGCCTCCGTGGCCGGCCCGCCGCCGCTCCGGCCGCGTCATTTTTGGAGTGGGCCCCCTCACGGGCCGTCTCTGGCCAGCCCTCTCCCTCCATTCTCTCTCCCTCTCTCTCTCTCTCTCTCTCCCTCTCCCCAGACCTCCGACGTGTTGAACAAATCAGGACGGAGGGTTTTCTAGGTGTTCGGCCTCTATAGCGGCCCTCGCCGGGCTCCGGGACCGTCAAAAAACGACTCAGGATGAAAAGCCGGTCCTGGGGAATGGGTCGAGACTTCCGGGGACCCCGTATGGAAAAAAACACGACATCGGATCTCTGGGTCTCTCTCTCTCTCTCTCTCTCGGAAGGAGGCCGCTGTCGTCGACGAGTTCCCGTCCGGCCACCACCGGATCCTCTTCGGCCGGGACGAGTGGATCAACTACCTCGACAGTGTCTGCGACCCTCCGCGGGGCGCCTGCTGGAAGAAGCGCCCAGACGGCTCGCTGGCATCCGGGGGGGGGGTCTGAGGGGAGGCGCCGAGGGGCGGGCCCGCAGGGCGGGGGGGGGGGCGCCGCAGCGGGGGGCCTGCAGGCCCCGCCTCGCGCCTCCCGTGCACCCCGGGTCCGCGACGGAATCCGCGAGCCAGGCGGCAGCGGCACTTTGCCTCCTCCTCCTCCTCCTCCTCCTCCTCCTCCTACTCTTGAAAGACGCCTCGCCTGGAGAGAGTGAGGGAGCGGCGGGCGGGATGGCCAGCACGGGTGGGACCGGATCGGCTCACTACCGGTATAGCGTGGCGAAGGTAATCAGTCGGGGTCTCCCAAACGGGGTGGTGACCACACTGTGTGGTGAGTCGGTGGGGATTCGGGGTCACCGAACGGTTTTGGGACTTGGGTCGTTCTCCGAGGATGTCTCGGGCGACTGGAGCCTCCAGGGTCCCAAAACCGTGTGGTGACGGACCGTGCGGTGAGGTCTTTGCGGATTTCGAGGTCACCGCCGGGTCTGTCACCACACGATTTTGGGACCCCCGAATAAGAGGCGTAGTCGTGTTTGCACGGGGGGGGGCAGCTCGATGTATTCCGCTCGCTTAGCGTGTCCTTTTGCTCCTGACCTGCGCAGCCGAGCCAGACCCAGCCGAGCTCAGTTCAGCCTGGCGAATGTTCAGCCGAGCTGAGCTTCCTCTAGCCTGGCTGAGACCTCAGCTTCGGTGTGCGGTGTGTCATCTGACATTCGACCAGGGCTTGTCTCGCGTAGCCTAGGCCCATCGCACCCTGACTTCTCGACGCCAGCTGGCGTGAGCTCAGCCGAGGAACGCGACTGGTAACCTACAGACGGAGGAGGAGGAGGAGGAGGAGGAGGAAGGGTAGGAGGAGGAGGAGGAGGAGGAGGAGGAGGAGGAGGAGGAGGACTTCCCTAGGTTGGTCTGGCCTGGCCTGGTTTGGCGCGGCTTTGCCTCGGCTGGAGTGCCTGGTGCGGCGCGGCCTGGCGCGGCCGAGCTTGGTGTAGGTCAGCCCAGCGTTGCGCATCGTGGCGTCTTCTCTTCAAAGCCGGTCGGCCTCCATCTGAACGAGAACTCCTGCCTGAAGGCATTTGGCCACTGCCGCCGAGCTCCTGTCTGGGTGTCGAGGGATCCTTTGTCGTCGTCCTCGTCCTCATGGTCGTCGTTCCCGCGCCCTCGTGGAATCCCGCGCCCCGTGAAGTCCCGCGTCCTCGTTTGGCGCTGGTGGAGACTCGCGTCCCCCAGGGTACCCGAGGTCGTCGCCGTCCTCCTCGCAGCGTGTCTGTTCCTCCTCCGGGAGGGTCTCTGGGCCCTCTTGGGGCTGTTTTCGGGCCGTGCCGTCTGGGGAGCCCTCTTCTGGTGATCGGGAGGGAAAAAACATAGACACAACTAATCGTCGATTCCCCGTAAAATATGGGAAATTGTCGGCAGTGGGGGGGGGGGAAGGCGAAACTTGAGAACATATGCGAAACGTTACTGGATCCTTGGGTTTTTGTGTGCTTATTTATGTGAGTGTGTGTCACTGGGCCCCTTCAAGTCAGTCCTCTCTGATCAGTTGGGGTTTCAGTGGATCTGCCCTGGACCTTCTCAGGGTTTGGGGCCGACTGGAGCTTCCTAACATTGCATCAGCGTGGTCTTTGAGTAAGTTTTGGCCCTGCGGCCAAGGAGAGACCATGGAGGGTCATGTCGGAGTCGTCTATCATCGGAAGCGTGAGTCGCAGTACTTTACTATGCAGCGTGCGTATAGGAGAGCGTATCCATATACAATCTGCTAGCAATGTCGTGCCCCTGGGAGCGCAGATCTTTTGCTGTCCGCAACTGGTTGCAATTATCCTGTATGCGTGACTGTTTGGGTGTTGCCCTGGGCGCTTGGTTTCATTGGAATCTGCAACAAACAGATCGTAACCTTTGGAGCTCGGATCTTTGTGTGTGTGTATATATATATATATATTCCTATGCATATATTTTTACAGGGCCGGGGACCCCGGAAAAGCGGCACACGGTGCCCCCCCCCCAAACGAATTTCGGCCTCCCCAAGCCTTTGGGGCGCTCCTGCAGAGTGCTCCGTGTCTGTCCTGCGAGTGCGACGCGAAAAAAAAAAAAACCCACGACGGCCAAAGAGGGCCCGAGACACCCAAAGATCGGCCCAAGACGCCCAATCTGGGCCCAAGACTGCCCAAGACGCGTCCAAGACGCCCCCAGAGACCCCCAAGAGGCCTCCCAAGAGAGCCCCGAGAGGCTACAATTGTTGATTTTCCTGAGTGTGTGTGTGTGTGTTTCTCGATGTTTTTGGCCTTTTCGCTTTCCCCGCTTCCCGACGCTCCACAATGGCCCAAAAGGCTCCCTAGATCGCCCCAATACTGCCCACGAGGCCCCCAAGAAGGCCCCGACACGGTCCAGGAGGGCTCCGAGACCGCCCAAGAGGCGCCCAAGACGGCCCAGGAGAGCACCAAGACGGCCCCAAGAGAGACCCAAGAGGGCGCCCAAAAATTCAAAAACTAAATTTTCCGCCGCGAGAGGGCCCCAAGAGGCCCGGAGAGAGCCCCATGAGGCCCCAAGAGGCCCCCAAGAGGCCCCAAGGAACCCCCAAGAGGCCCCCAAGAGGCCCCAAAAAGATCCCCAGAACCCCAACACACCCCCAAGAGGCTTCAAAACTGCCTCCCAGAGGGCCCCGAGAGGCGCGCCACGAGATCCCAACACAGCGGTCTCCCCCTCTCATTATCCCTTCTCTTTGTCGTCGCCTTCTTCGTCGTCGTCGTTGTCGTATCAAATGGCGCAGCGAGGCCATTTTTCGTTCAAACCACCGAAGGACCCAAGAGCTCCTCCTCCTCTTCCTCATTATCTTCCTTCTCTCCCCGTGATGTTTCACGTTCCGCCCCGCCAAAGGTCTAGCAGAAGCAGCTCTCATCACTCTCCCAAGTCTCTGCTGCGGATTTCTTCCGCGACACCTCGGCTGCACCCCAGATATCCACATAATCTGTCCTCTTCATCCTCTTCCCCCTCTTCATCCTCTTCCTCTTCCTCCTCCTCCTCCTCCTCCTCCTCATCCTCTTCATGTTCCTCCTCCCGCCTCGACTGGGCTTCTCGCAACACTCAATACAAACCGTTGGGGCCACGACACCATCTCATCCGGGCGCGCTGTTGGGAACTAGGGTTTGCGTGACATTTCGGAGATCAGGCCGTCGGGGACCTTCGGTTTCAGCGCACATCCTGGGGAAACGCTCTCTGGGGGCTCACGACCGCGCGAACACTCGCAACGTCGGCCATTTTCGCGCGCGACTTCTCGCAACTCTAAGGTAAAGGATGCCCTGAGCAGAGGTGTTCAGACCACTCTTCGCTCGAAACTTCCTCGCGCGGCTGACTTCGGATATGCCCCCCCCTGAGCGGAGGTATTCAGGCCATTTTCACCCGGGACGTCCTCGCAACACTGACCTCGGCGACGCACTGCCCCACGGTAGTCTGACCGCGCTTGCCGGAGACCCTCGCGCCTTTTAGCGGCGCGATGATATGAGCAACTGGTCAGGCCACTGCCGCCTGATATACGCATGCGCACGCGCGCGCAGAGTTACACTGACCATTTGCATATACATGTACATATCCATACAAACGTATACATATATGTACATATGTACGATGCATTCATGGACGCATGCGTGTGCGCATGTACGCACGCTCGCACTCCGCTAGCGTGCGAATTCCAAAGGACCAAGGCGCATGGCGCGCAGCGCCAGTGCAGTCTTGTATGTATGTATATATATATATATATAATGTACTCACCCAGGGGACGTGGGTTTTCGGCGATGTGGATTTAATCGTGATTTTGGAAACGCGAGCCCTGGGATCTCAAACGTTCCGTAATTTATTGATGACCGTGCTTCTGCGCGATTCTGTGTGATTTTTCGGCTGGCCCTGAGAGTATCGGAGTTATTGTACTGTACAAAGGATCGCGGCCTTGGGGGGCGCGGCTCGCAATTTACATGCAACTGTTGCGCGTGAGCGGCCTGGTCGGTTGTGACTTATTCAGGGTCTTGGCCATGTGAACGCGGACTCACTGCACCTTCGCAGTGAGGGGCAGAGAGAAAGAGAGGGAGAGAGACAGAGAGAGAAGGAGTGTTATATTTACATTTTTTATATATATATATAGAGAGAGAGAGAGAGAGAGAGAGAGAGAGAGAGAGAGAGAGAGAGAGAGAGAGAAAAAAAAACACAAATAACTAGAGAGACAGAGAGAGAGAGAGAGAGAGAGAGAGAGAGAGAGAGAGAGAGAGAGAGAGAGAGAGAGAGAGAGAGAGAGAGAGAAGAGAGAGAGAGAGAGAGAGAGAAAGAGCGCGGCTTTGGGAACGCGGGCCTTGTGGGTCGCGGACTTGGGAGCTTGCTTTGTATTCTAACAGGGATCGTGGTCTTCGGAGCGCGAATCTTTGTTTTCACGGGCTCGTTTTGCGCTGGAAACGTGAGGCCCTCCTCAGGAAATGGCAACGTGACCCTTTTAGAGGTCGCTTGGGGAACTTACAGAGGGGTGGCGGGATACAGTTCCTACATTGATTTCCAAGGTTGCCCAGCTGTTGTCAAAGCCGATGTAGCGCGACGGTTCCAGCCTGGATGCCTCCCAAAACGAGAAGAGGCGGATCTCCTTGTCACCGAGTCGCGCGAATGTTTCGCACACTTCGCGCTGTTAAGCGTAGCCTTTCTCAGTTCCGCCCTTGTTTCAGGATCCTCCTTTTCTCTCCGTTGCGCCGCGGTTGCCGCTGCTACGCTGCCAGCCGCTGCAGTTGCTGCTGCCCCGGTGATAGTATCTGATGTTGCCGCGACCTGTGCTGCCTGCATGTCCCTGCTGGTACACCCTCACACGGATCGTGCCCCATGGGGAGCTCCACGTCCAGCCCCCGCTGAGCGCGGTCACATGCGTCCCCACCCCCCTTCCAGCAAACTTCTCCTCCTCCTCTTCCTCCTCCTCTTCACGGATCGTGCCGCCCCACAGGCATACCAGCCTACGCTCCCAGTGGGGCCGGCCGTCTCTCTCGCCCCCCTGGCGATGTCGGCAAGCCCATCTCACCGATCGTGTGGCCAGCTGGGAGCTCCGCCCGGGCCCCCAACGTGGGCCTTCACGAAGCGGCCCCCCGCCAATCTCAGCACACCTCTTGCCCCAGTGGGGGTGCTCAAGTGGGCTCACGCAGCGCCCCCGGGCCCGTCCCTCAAATGGGCCGTGACCCTTATGATGAATCTCGACCTCACCCCCGCGGCGCGCGAGGATCGGGCGACCCATTGCGCTAGACGTAGCTTCAAAAGGTTGGGTCCTTCGCCAGGCAAGCGTTGTAGAGTGGCAGTTTTCAATATGAGCTTAGACCGTATCATGCAGTGGCGCGAGAGAACCTCACCAAACGAACCGGCAGAGCAGCCGCGGCCGTCGAGCGGGCACATGGAGGCGCGTCGAGCAGCCGCCGCGGCTGGGGATCTCGCTGCTCCTCCCCAGCCATGTGCACACGTCGCGAGCAATCACGGCTGGAGCCCTCCACCCAGCCCCTCACGAGGTGCTGCCCGAGCCGGATCGACCCGTGGGGGCCGCACTCAGTGCCAACGAGATGGGTGCACGGTCGTGGACATACTGCCAGGCAGATCGCGGGAGGGTGGCGGGGACATGGCGGGGAAAGCTTACCCGGCTCCGCGCGGGATGGCGCAGGCAAGTGGCAGGAACGCCCCGCGTGCCTCTGCCCACCGCGCCCGCCCCGCGGACGTCCGGGCCGCCAACGGCGCCCCTCCTCCCCGGCCCACCCCCCGCCCGTAGCGCTGCGGCTTCCCGCGCCCAGTCGCAGGCCTAGAGGTCGACACCAACACCAACACCGGCGGTGTGCCTCCACCGAGGGAAGGAGATCCCGACCTCGGTGATGGTGGGTCATACTCTGGCCTCCCAGGGGGTCGAACCATGACCACCAACGCCAGAATCTGGGATCCCCCCCCTCCTGTGGAGGCACCCCCCCTTGGTGTTGGTGCTGGTGCCCCTGTCCAGGCCTCCAGGCGCCCTCCGCGTGGCCCGCGGGGCCCGCCGCGCGGCGGCGCCCGGCGCCGCGGCCGCTGCCCCGCGCCGGCGCGGCGCGGCCGGTGCCGCGCGCCAGGCCCTGAGCGGCGCGCGGCCGCCCGCGCGGCGACCCCCGTGCTGCCAAAGAGGGCCCGCGGGCCGCGCAGGAGCCGGGCCACGGAGGGTGGCGCTCCCCGTGCGACCCCAGCGTCGGGCCCCCCCTCGTGCCCTCTCGCCCTCCCGTCCCCCCCCCCGCCCGCCCGCTCTGCGTCGTCCTCCTCCTCCCTCCTCCTCCTCTCCTCCTCCTCTCCTCCTCATCCTCATCCTCATCCTCATCCTCATCCTCATCTCCTCCTCTTCCTCCTGCTCGCAGCTTTCTCCTCCTCCTCCTCCTCCTCCTCCTCCTCGCAGCTTCCTCTCTGAGACTGTGCTTCTCCACCTGCCCCTCCTCCTCCTGCCCTCCCCCCCCCCGTCGACCCCTTCACCCCCCCATCCCCCCACCCTCCCTCGGACGTTCAGTCAACGAAGAAGTTCGATCTCCCTGCTTCTGCCTGACCGCTGGAGCAGACAGGACGAGTGAGGAAAGAGCGACAGAGAGAGAGACCAGTGCGGGGGATCCTCCTCCTCCTCCCAGGACCAGGTCTGTCCCAGGACTTCGGCTGGGTGGTGCGACCCGCGGGGGGGGGGGGCCGCGGGTCGCGCCCCCTGTCCCGCCCCCCGCCGTGACACGGGCGCGAGGAAAAATACATCGATGCTTTTTCACCGGGGGGGGGAGACGGGGATGCGGGGGGAGCTGGGGCTGGGAGGGGTGGGGGGTAGGGGCGGGAGGGAGTAAGGGGAGGAGTGGATCGGATCGACTCGGCAGGAGGACGCGTCAAGCATCTCAGCGCCGTGGGAGGAGTGGGGGGAGGAGGGGTGGGGTTGGGAGGGGTGGGTGCCAGGCGGGTGGGGGTGAGGACAAAGTTCAGGAGTTGGCCGCACCCCCGCCTCCCTTACAAGAGGGCTGGCCACACATCCTTTTTACAAGACCAACGGTCGACTGTGTGGTCATCCCCCTCCTCTCGCTTCCCCTTCTTCTTCTTCTTCTTCCTCCTCCTCGCTCGTCCGCCTCCTTCCTTCTTCACCACCTCCTTCACCGTGTCTGGTGTGGTGGGGGCGCCGTATCACACACGCATGCCATTAGCCCCAGGCGATTTCGAGTCGAGCCGAATTCTGGTGCCACGGCCTCTTTCTCCTCTTTCCCCTTCATCCTCCTCGTCCTCTCATCATCATCAGCATCATCATCATCCTCATCATCACTATCATCATCAGCACCACCATCATCGACATCATCACCATCATCATCATCATCATCATCATCATCATCATCATCATCATCATCATCAGCATCATTGTCGTCATTATCATCATAGCCGTGTTGGCTTAAGCGCCTGCTTGTCCTGATGGCCTTCTGAATGAATTTGCGCCCTGCTGCGAATCATGCTTGCGATGGTCGTTGCCGCGAGGCTCCAGTGGGTGAGGCGACAGATCGAAGGCGGCGCGGACGTTCGCATCGTTGCTGGTGCAGCACTGTCGGCATCGCGCTCGAAGATCAGGATCCGTGTGAGGAAATCTTGCCTTTCGTCCCAGACATGCAAAAATGTGCAGCTGGCACTGCTAGCGGTAGTCAGGCGTCTGGTGACCTTTCATTCCGCGGTGGACATCGGGCACCGCCACTCAGATGGCACCAGCGTGGTCTCCATCTAGATCTAGGTGTCGGCAGTTGCTGGAGTTGGTGCCGTCACCGATGAGGGCGATCAGCAAGGCCTTGGAGATGATGACGGCAATGGCGATGGAAACGGTAGTGGTCGTTTTCCTGGCCCTCGGGCCTGGCGTTCTCGTCGCGATGGTCGTGGATCTCCGCTACCCACGGTGCCTCGTAATGGAGAAGGTGTTGGCCTCTGCGGTTCTTCTGCCGCTGGACGTCGCGCTCCTGGTGCGGCTGTTCAACTTGATGCCCCGTGCCCATCTCTGATTTAGATTATTCTGGAGTGTTTGTGGGGCGTTGCTTTTGGCTATTTCAAGGTCCGCCGTGTTCCCCGCGCTGGGAAGGGTGCTTTGGGAAGCTCTTTTCTGTCGCCCGCTTCCCTTTCTCTTCCTCTGCTGCTTTCTTCTCCTCCCGTGAATCCCGCCGTCGGCCTCGTCCCGTCGTCCGCCGTCGGTCTCGTGTCCCCTCCTCGTCTTCGGTTTGCCGCTCTCCGCGGTCCCACTGGTCCTGCTCCTCCTGCTGCTCTTGCCCCCACCGCTCGGCTGCTGTCCCCTTGGCCCCCCTCTCCTCCTGCTCTCTGCTGGCTGTTCCTCCGTCTTTCACCAGCCTCGAGCGTATCCCTAGCCCTGAGATTGGCACGTCAGAAGGCGATGACAATCTTAGGGATGCGCCCTGAAAAACTGAGGGAATCCCCAAGATTGGCACTATGTCGAGGCGCTGCCTAGCTTAGAGATAGGGACATGCTCCGGGCTGGTACGTCTTGTGCGCCTGTCGTGCCTTCGCCCCGCCGCATCGCGGCCGGCGGCAGGCGAGAGGGTCGGCCCGCGCGCGCGCCGCCCCCCCCCCCCGTGGCACCCCGCCGCGGCCCCCGCCCTCAGCCGCCGCCCGGCGCGGCATCGCTCCGGAGCCGTCTGTGCTCCGGCCGAGCTCCCCCCTGTCTTAGCAGCCTCGAACGTATCCCTATCCCTAAGACTGACACGCCAAGAGGCGATGGCAATCTTATCCGACGAAGGCATCTAGACACCACCACCGTGCCAGGGCAGGGCCATTTTGGGCTTCAGGATGGTGTATAGAGCCTCCTGGCCTCGGCCAGGAGGGCGTATACACCATGCCAGGGCCAGGATGGTTCTAGCTTGGCACGGTGGTGGTGTATAGATGCCCCCTGCGTATCTTAGGGATGCTCCCTCGAAAAATAAAGGAATCCCTAAGATTGGCATTGTGATGAGGCGCTGCCCAGCGTAGAGATAGGGACAGGTTCCAGGCTGGTAACCTTTCGGCGGGCCGGATCGGATCGGTGCTCGGCTGTTTTTTGTTGTTCTTTCTCAAAGGGAAAGGCGAGCGTGGCGATTGGCTGGCGAGCTGCCCTTGGCGGTTTGTGATCAGCACGCATGCTTGCAAGCGGCATGTGGTGCCAGGAGCGCTCTGCCTCTGAGAGCCTCTGGCCCTTGCCTCCCCGCGTCAGCTTCCCGACGAAGTTCGAGGCACCTGCGGCGCCCAGCCGCTGTCCTTTGCCTGTTCCCTGCCTCCCTGCGCCAGCCCGTCGCCCGCCTTGGGGGTGATCGTGGTTCGGTTCCGTCCGTGAGCGGCGATTCGGTCGAACCGCGATGGCCCGATTTTGATGGGAGCACGCGCCCCCAGGGAAAACGGACTCCTCGTGCAGCGTACCCGCCGCTGCTCCTCTCTGGTCATCTCGCTGCTCTCGTTGGCGTTGGTTTTCCGCCGCCTGCGCGTGCACGGCTTGGCCCGCCGTTTCAGAAGGGACAGGGCACATGGAGCTGGCGCGTGCACCGGCGGTGAAACAGATCGGCATCGACAGCATCATCGTCATCATCATCATTAGCATCGCCATCGTTATCATCATCCTCATCATCATCATCATCATCATCGTCGTCACCATCACCATTATCATCATCGTCGCCACCGTCGTCATCAGCGTCGACGTTAGTCTCCCCCCACCACCATCACCATCAACAGCGCCATCATCGTTGTCATCGTCGTCATCGTTATTGCCATTGTCGTCATCGGCATCGTCGTCATCGTCACCGCCATCTTTTTTGTCCTCGTCAGGGCCATCACCTTTTATCCTCGTCGTTATGCCCATCACCGCCATCACCATCATCATCATCATCATCGTCATCATCATCATAATCATCATCATCATCATCATCATCATCATCATCATCATCATCCTCGCCTTCGCAGGCAGCATCAGCACCGTCACCCCCATCATCCTTATTATCTTCCTTTTGTGCTCTTTGCCCCCCTTTCTCCTCCTGGGCTGAAGACCTCACGTCCTTGGATGTTTGGGTTCGCTCACCCGCTGCTGGGCCAGACCAGCAGCGCCGCCGCCATGCGTTGCCCGCCCCCCCCCCCCTCCCCATCTCGGCAGCTCGCGCCAAAAAGGGAAAGGGGGGGACAGGGGAGTGCCTTCTGAGAAGGCATGGGGGTCCTACCAGGGGCCCTCGTGCCTTCCATCGGAGAGCAGACCGAAGAACGCAAACATCGTTAGTCGAAGCTCCGCGCTGGACCTTCCAAGCACGGTTCCTCCGGCACCGCCCTTGGCGGGCTTCGCGCGCCGGGGGAGGGGTGCCCAGCGCCCACTTAAGAAAGCAGTTGGGACTCCGAGAGTTTGCTGGTGTCCTTTTTTGCGTGTGCTGTTTTTGTTCTAATGTTACGAGAATTTGTTTTTCTGGTGCCGCCTGCCATATCTTACGGCACAGCCTGCCGCCTCGGCCTCCTATTTCGTTGGCCGTCTAGAAATTGCTGTTGCTGGATCTTCCTCTTGTCCAGACCTCCAGCGTCCTCGAGCTGCACCAGGGACTTCACGCGACGGCAGCAAAAGAGCCAGGACTCCGGATCAGGGTCCCCATTTTGCCCTCCTCCTCCTCGTCCTCCTCTTCCTCCTCCTCCTCCTCCTCCTCATCCCCCTCCTCCTCCCCCTCGTCGTGTTGTCACGTTCGTCAGCCGATCTGGAGAGCGGAACGCTTCGGTTTGGGCCAGGACGAGGATGCATCCGCCCCAGAAGGTTCCCGAACGCTCTCCGAGAGTTCCGGAACGCTCTGAGAAGGCCGCGGCGCCCGAAAAATCTTCCAGAGCCGCAGAGTTTTAGAGATTCTCGATTTTATCCTCACCCGAATTTCTCCCCGTCCTTGCTCGTCTCAACGCCCCCCCCCTTCCTCGCGAGGCGCAGCTCCAGCCTACGGCCCGGGCGTGCAGGTCGGCGCGGGGGCGCGCCAACCATCCTCCAGCGCACGCCGATCATGGCCAGGCCAGCCCTGGGCCGTTCTGGGCCTCGGTGCTCGGCAGCGCTCGGGCGTGTGCCTTTTTTCTTGGCGAGGACCATCGGGAACCCTCCTGGGTCATCTTGGGGAACATGAGTTCGCAAGACCGAAACAAACGTGCACGGGGAATGGGCGACCGAGCGGTGGCAGGGGTGCGCAAACATGTATTTTCTGCCACGCGATCGACGCAAGCCTCTAGGGACCTTGCGCAGACCTCGGCGCGCAGGTTGCCCGTGTAAGGTCTTGCGCAAGCGCCTTCTTCGCCACGCGGCGTGCCACGCCAGCGACCCTGCGCGAGCCACAGCGCAAGGCCCGTAGCGTCCTCATGCGTGAGGTCCCTGTCTTTCTGCCGTTCGGCTGGGCGGGAGGAGGAGGAGGAGGAAGACGAGGTGGAGGAGGAGGAGGAGGAGGACGATGAGGTGGAGGAGGAGGAGGAGGAGGAGCAGGAGGAGGAGCAGGAGGAGGAGGAGGAAAAGGAGGAAAGGAAAAGAAAAAGGAAAAGGAAGGGAAAAGGAGGAGGAGGAGGAGGAGGAGAAGAGGAAGGAGGAGGAGGAGGAGGAGGAGGAAGGAGGAGAGAAGGAGGAGGAGAGGAAGAGGAGGAAGGAGGAGGAGGAGTAGGAGACGGAAGAGGAGGAGCAGGAGGAGGAGGAACAGGAGGAGGAGGAGAAGGAGGAGGAGGAGGAAAAGGACAAGGAGGAGGAGGAAAAGGAAAAGGAAAAGGAAAAGGAGGAGGAGGAGGAGGAGCAAGAGAAGGAGGAGGAAGTGGAGGAGGAGGAGGAGGAGGAGGAGGAGGAGGAGGAGGAAGGGCGGCATCCCCACGTCCTGGGCCCAGGCTTGGCTCGGCCATGGTCGCAGTGTGGGCCTGGATGGTTGGTCGCCGTCTTGGCAGGGCGGCGGCGCCTATAGCGGCGCCGCCTCCTACAGTGGCGCCGGCGCCGGGACGGGCGGCTTCGGGGGCGGCTTCCAGCAGCAGGCCGCGCAGGCGGCCGGGACGGACATCAACAAGGCGATCTCAAACATGGATCAAGGGGGCGTGGATTAGCGACGGGTCCCGTTTCCATGGGGAATCGCGGATTTCCACCGCCGAGCGAGGCGGCACCGGCCGCTTTTTGGGCAGGGCACCTCCCCCGATCCATGGATTTGGCGACCGCGCACCAAATCCATTGATCGCTAATCCATGTTTGCGCGCCCCCGAGGAACGGACATCAAGCAGTGGCGAAGCGTCTTGGCTCGCCTATAGGACTATAGGCCCACCAAAGAATGTTCTTAGAGCCGTTTGTGGTTTGCGCGACATGTTCTCAGAACACTCTGTCAGAGACCGCTTTGTTTTAACACATCGGCTTAACGTTCTAAGAACCTTGTTTTTGTGATCAGAAATTGCGTAGCCCTGCTCAAGGACAGACGCCCCGCGGAGCACGGTCGTTGCCCGCCCTGATCTCAGGTCTCCGCCCAGAAGACGGAAACACACGTACATGATAATGAGTTGTCGGAGATCCGCGCGGGTCTCGCGATCGGCGCTGAATCTCCAGGCGCCTCCGGCGCCACCCCTGGCACGATTCGCGCGCCAGGGGGGAGGGGTCAAGCGCCGACCCAATGTGCATCGGCGCGGAGCTACGAGAGTTTTTGATAATGCCATGGGTTGTCATTTCGTTCCCGCGCCAACCCCAGATGTCCGACGCGGGCCTCCGGGGCCCCCTACCTGCTTCGCTAGGGCGATCTTTCGTCCTGGAGTCGTGCTGCTTGGATGGTTCCGGGGGCCGACTGAAGCTTGTTCTCTGCGCCAAGATTTGGTAGAAAATGCGGGGATCGGGAAATCACCACGCCCAACGTCTGGGACGGGCTCTTCCTTCTCCTCTTGCCTTTTCTTCTCCTCCTCCTCCTCCTCATTCTCCTTCTCCTCCTCCTTCTTCCTCTTAGAGTGTTCTGCAGGATCTGGGGCACCCTCACGGCTCCTCGGAGGGCCCTGCTGGATGATGGGCGCCCCGGGAGGGCCTGCCGGTGGCGCAGCCCCGGTCCACGAGTTGCTGCAGAGGCTGTAGATGTTTCAGATTGGCGCCGTCTGCCGCTCGCCCGCATCCGGCTTCAACCCGCTTAACTTTGAGGCGCACGTGTCCCTCTACAGGAGGAATATTCGAAGATAGAAAAAGTCGGGACGAATTTTCTTATTTGTTTTGATCATTCTTGAACATATTTTATCATTTTTATTTTTGGCCCAAAGTCGGCCTGTGGGGGGACATGCCCAACCTCAGCTCAACCCTGGCGGCGCGGACAAGGTTGTGGCTCGCGAGGGGCGGCCTTGCTACGCGGCGGGGGGGCTTCTTGGAAGGCAGGCGCCCTTGTCACAAGGTCATTGGCATTTCCCCCTCGCGCCTCCTCGCTTATGCGCGCCGCCATTCGCCCTAGTTTCTTCATTCTCGTTCTGAACTCCGCGCTTGTCTCTCGCTCTCTCTCTCTCCCTCGAGAGCCTCGCCCTGGTGCTCCCGCCCCGCCGCCCGGCCTGCCGCTTCTCCTTTGAGCTCTCCCCGTCAGTCGCCCGCTGGGGCCTTCGATGCCGTCGTCGCCGGCGCGGCCGCTGCGGCCGCCGCCGCCCCCGTCTTTCGTTGTTGCCGTCGCCGCAGTGGTCTGTCAGGGAGGACGGGGAAGGAATGGGCACTGGAAGGAGTTGGAGGAGTAGCAGGAGAGGGGAGGAACAGTCGGAGGAGGAGGATGAAGGGGAGGAACAGGAAGGATTGGAGGTGGAGGAGGAGTATGGTTATGAATCGAGTTTGCCAGGTCGAGCAATTCAGCGGAAGCCCCTCATTCCCATCCCTCCCTTCCATAGCATAGTAGTCAATGGTGGCACACCTTGAGATTGAGACTTGAACGCGTCCCCGACAAGCAAACGGAAGGCGTCCTCGCGCGGTCTCGCTTCCGACGATTTGGTGCGGTGTATCAGCGCGGGCCGCGTAGGGGCGGGAGTGGAATTTCATGAAATCCTTGAGCGGCGCTGCGGCGAGAACATTTCTTATGAGCGCGGCGAAGACGAAGCATGCGACGTGCCGAATCAGCACTGCTGCATTCACGCACAAATGTGCGGCGCTTGGCGAGGACATTCGAAATGCTGGCGAGGATCTGATTGCAACTACCTCCTTTATTTCCCTGTCTCTCCTCCACCTTCTCCTGTTATATTTCTTGGTCCTCCCGCTATGGAGATTTCACACAGCCTGTCACGATCTTGGGATAACTTGCGGTGTCCGTGGAAAAAGCTAGAGGTATGAACGATAACTCTCGAAATCGTCCGAGTACTTGCGCAGATCTTCGAATACCCTCTCGTATATGACGACTCGTTTGTTCTGAGTCGCCGACCCTTGGAGTTCTCGAACCCATCCTCGGGGCCGGCTTTCCAGCCCGAGTCGTACTCTGACGGTCCCAGGACCCAGGGACCGCGCCCAGAGGCAGCACACTGCAACAACCCTGGGCGCGAAATGATTCTCCAGAGCCGCCAGAGGTCGCCCAAAGCAGGCCGAGCACGCTCGACGACGGCCTCGCGTGCCCCGGGCTCGTCGGCCCCTCGCTGCGTTTCCTCCTCCGCCTCGGGGCGCGAGCACTGCGTGCACCCGCAGAGCCGGCAGAGGGGCGCCCCGAGGCGCCAGCGCGCTGCGGAGCCCGAGCCCCCTCCGATCCTCGAGGCCCTGAGCCCCCGGGGTGGCTCCCCTCGGCGCCAGGCCGGCCGGTCCAAGGCTGAGCGGCGCGCACAGCCGGTGGTTCGAAGATGGGGTCCTGAAGGATAGGGGTCCTGAGGACGGCGTTCGAGTATAGCCAGGACCCCAGGTGAGGGGGCGCGGTTCGTGGTGGGGCCGCGGAGCCCCTACATGGGCCAGATCACGGAACCAGGCTCGGCGGCGCGCACAGTCGGTGGTTCAAAGGTTCTAGGCCTCCTAGGTGGGGTCGGAGCAGATGGGGTCGGAGGGTCGCGCCGCATCGGCGATGCACCCGCGATGCCGCTCGATGTGGGGCCCGAGCTCCTCCACGCCGACGTGGCCGAGGCATCGCCGACGTCGCCATTGCATGGCCGATGCATCGCCGATGCATCGCCGATGCATCGCCGATGTATCGGCGATGCGGCGAGATCCTCCGACCCCATCTACTCGGACCCCATCTAGGAGGCATCTAAAGATCGGGTCCTGAAGGATGGTGCCCTAAGGACGGCGTGCCTCAAGCAATGGAAATCCACCCTTGGATTTTTGCTTATCCTTGGGACCCCATCCTGCAGGAACCTATCCTTGAGCCACCGACGCAGGGGGGGAAGGCAGAGGGGGCAGGCCTTCTCAGGAAGCAGCGGGGGTTCTCAGAAGCCCTCCAGCCTCCCGAGAGGCCGCCTGTGCCTCTGGAGAGGGCTCACGAGGCTCCTCCTCGGCCCAGGAGGCCCAAAAGGGAGAACACGAGGGATGGGCGGTGGTATGGGTACCTTGACGAACGAACAACACACACCTAAACCCATAGGGGGGCCCTTGCGAGGAGGACTGGCTATGGGTATGGGTGCGGGTTGTCTGACCCTGGGGAACGCTCCCGTTCGAGCGGGGACCCCCATCCGACAACACGCACCCATAGCCCTCTCCGACCCCCCTATGGGTATGGGTGTGTGTTGTCGGTTCGTCATACCTCTTCCTCCTCCGAAGACCTGGCGCCCGACGGCCTGCCCAGGCAGCGTTCAACGACCCGGCTCTCCAGCAGCACATCCGGACCGCGCCCCCGCCGCTCGCCCGTGCGGCTCCCGCGCGGCACCCGCCGCCGCGGCGGCAGAGGAGGGACGTTACCAGCCTGGAACAGATCCATATCCCTATGCTGGGCACCTCCTCATCACGCTGCCAATCTTAGGGATTCCCTTATTTTTTGAAGGCGAATCCCTCAGATTGTCGCCGCCTTTTGGCGCGTCGATCTTAGGGATAGGGATACGTTCGAGGCTGGTAAGGGCGCGCGGTGCGGCGCGGGCCTCCCGCCCCGCGGGGTCGCAGGCGGTCGGTGCGCGGCGGGCCTGCGGGAAGGCTCGTGCCGTGCCGCCGCCGCCGCTGGCGTTCAGGGTTCCGCGCCGCCAGGGGCCCAGGGTCGGCCAGCCCGCGGCGGAGAGGCGCCCGCCGCTGTCCCCGCCCCCCGCCCGCCGAATTCCCGTGAGGACGCGCTCCTCGCCCCAGATCGCGACGCAGGGGGCTCTCAGAACTCGCCCTCGGGGGCATTCACGGGGAAGGCCTGCACGATTGTCTTGGCCGGCTTCGCCTTCTCCGTGGCTTCGGCGGAAGGATCTGGCGGTCTGGAGACGCGAGATCGTGCAAGGTGGAAGCCGGGGAGGGGGAGGAGGCGGGAGGATCACCGCAGGATTTTCGGAGGCGGTGTAGAGTTTACAGGTCGAGGGATCTCGAAGGTTTTCGGCCGTTTGGGCTTCGTGGGTCTTCAGAGGCCTTTGGAGGCCCTGGGGGAACTCCAGGCAACCCCAGGGACGCCAGACTTCCGTCGTCGTCGCTGTGGTCGTGGCGCAACCCATCACGCACGCAACCCATGTTGCACCCAGTGTGCAGACTAGGGAGGGATTGTACAGTTGGACGGAGGAGGGGGGAGAGGATGGGGGGAGGGGGCATAGGAGGGTAAGGAAGGGAATTTGGGTTTGGAGGTGCCCTCGGCATACGGGATTCGGCTTACCTGCGGCAGAATGTCCTTGGCGAGAGTCTCGTGTCGAGCGTGGGCCGTGGTGACTTGGCGAGACAGCGAGCGCACGTTGCGGTCGATGCTTTGCTGGCACGAGATCATGTTCTGGCTGAGCGAGACAACCTGCTGCTGAACGGCGGCCGAGTCGAGTACCCGTGCAGTGTGGATCCGACCGAGCCTGTCGTACCGTCGGACCGAGGTATAACATCGAGGTCGCTTCGTGGAGGGTACCATAATGCTCTTCGTGCTTGTATGAGGTTCTTGTGCATCCTGGGGGAGGGCACCCTCGCATACTCTTCAGTTTGGTCTGGCGGAGGGTCTCATGTGCTTTAGGGATGCTATTCTGTCTTAGGTCCTTGGTCCGACTGTACCTGTGCGGCGTGGATCCAAGCGAGCCTGTGTTATTGCCACCGTCGTGAGGCTGAGGCGTTTTTGGAGCGGCTCGGGCTGCCCTTGGGCCACGGTGGCGAGAACGCCTCTGAAGGGCCCGCCAGCAGCGGCGCCCGCTTTCCCTCCTTGCCTGCGCGGCGGCGGCCAGACCTGGCGGTGGCTCGACGATGTTTTGAACTGCCTGCTCGCAGGCGATGTTTCTTCCCCAACCCCCGACTCTTCGTCGAAGAAATGAAGCCGCTCAGAAAAGGAGGGGAACCCTGGGCCACACCCCAAGGGGGCTATTCGGACGCACCCCTTATCGAGGATGGACGCCCCCCTCCTCGTATATCCTATGATGCTCCATCTGAAAACCTCTCGAAGCCTGGAATAGGGGTCGACTTATCCTCTGTTACATGCCAGTGTCGTTCTACCAAGGCCTCTGCCGTGTCTCTCGTGGCGCGAAATTCGTCCAGCTCCTGCCACTTCTCGGCAGTGCTGTGCGCGAGATGAAGCGCGCCCTGGATCTAGAAATCGCCGCGAACTCAGCATCGATCGTGCTGGTCCTGCCACGGGCGGCACAGATGAATGGCCGTCAAGAGCGCTGAACTCCTCCCGCTCGTCTTTCATGCGAACCCTCGTCTTTCATGCGGACAGGTGCTGCCACGGTCTTTAGCTTCTGTGGTCTCTTGGCTGTGTGGGACTTGCCCTCGTGGACAGTTGCATTCTCTGCCAGCTCGCCTAAGAACCGAAAGTGGTACGTGGCGATGCGGGGGGGGGGGGGTCGCAGCCAGGGGTCGCACCGAGCGGACGCCGATGCCCTTCCTCCTCGTCCTCGTCTTCTGCGAACGACACAGCAGGGTTGGCAAAACGACGGGTCCGACGTCTCTGAGCACCATGCTGCTGTCCGTGCTGCTGCTGTTTCTGCTGCACCTGGCCGTCGCCATTCCCGCTCCGCCCCCACGTTTTGCGAGCATATGTTTTGTGCTCCTGGCCTCGCCATCCGCCCTTCGCGCTACGACGACGTGGCGCACTATCCTGACTGCCAGGATTGACATGAGGCACAAAGGACCACGATCTGCACGACGAGCACTCCAAGAAACTGGCGATGCCAACTTGCAAGCACCCTTAAGTGATCATTGGTTGGTGCGGGCGGAGTTATGTCAATCGAGACGCAGCCTGGCACTATCGAGCTGAAGAAGAAGCCGATCCTCCGCCCGCTTCAGTCTGAGACGTCTGCCCCCTGAAGGCTGTCCCGCGACGCGGCGGGCCGAAAACGGCTGACTCGCCAGGTTCCGTGGCGCAGAACCAGTGTATGTGTGTACGTGTGTGTACGTGTGTGTGTGTGTGTGTGTGTGTGTGTGTGTGTGCGTGTGTGTGTGTGTGTGTGTGTGTGTGTGTGTGGTGTGGTGTTGGGGGGGGGGGGGGGGGGGGGGGAGGGGGGAGGGGGGGGGGGGGGGGGGGGGGGGGTGGGGGGGGGGGGGGTGTGGGTGTGGGTGTGGGTGTGGGTGTGGGTGTGGGTCAAGCTAGCCAGCTCGAGCGAGTCAAGCATGGCATGCCCATTCCCACCCGCCCTCCCACAACATAAGAAATAGTGATGGCACAACGGACAGGCTGCTGTCTTCCCCCTCGCCGTACCCCTAAACCCCCCAAATCCGTTCCGAAGGGAGCCTTCGGACTCCTCCGGGGTCCAAACGCACAACTTTTTCGAGTCGCGTCCAGCCGTGACTTTGAGGAGTACCCCGAGGGCCAGAAAGCTTCGAACACCGATTCTCGAGGCAACGGACAGGCTGCTGTCTTCCCCCTCGCCGTGCCCCCAAACCCAGATCCGGTCCGAAGGAAGCCTTCGGACCCCTCCCGGGTCCAAACGCACAATTTGTTTGAGTCGCGTCCAGCCGTGACTTAGAAGAAGACCCCGAGGGCCAGAAAGACTCGAACACTGATGCTCGAGGCGCAAAGTTCGAGCACGTCACTGAAACACTCCCCCTCGGCGCGCCGCCGACCATGACCTGTGGGCGGCGCCGGCGCCGTGCCGCCGCGACGGGCCCTCCCGGTTCGGGCTTCGAGGCTCCTCGGAAGCTCTCGCGGCTCTGGCGTTTTTCCGTCGACTTCGCACGTTTTTCCTTCGACTTCGCCCTCCAGGGAACCATTTCTGGCCCCCCAGACCAATGACAAAATATCCAGGACGCAAACCTGCTCCCGAGAAAGGGGTCGAGATCTCAGAAAGGCTTGGGACAAATTCGCCGGCCCAACGGGCCAGAGGTGTGCAAAGATCTCCGGTAACTAGTTAACAATATTCTAGTTTGCGCGCGCGGGGCGACCCCTGGGGGCCCCCGGACGAAAAGTACCCCGAGCAGGTAGTTTGCGCGCGCGGGGCGGCCCCTGGGGCCCCCCCGACGAAAAGAACCCCGAGCAGGTCCTGGGCACGTCGGTCCCAGCGATGGTTTTCTTCTCTTCGGCGCTGACTTCCAGGTCCCAGAGCGCCCCAGGAACGCCCCAAGAGAGCCGAGACGCCCCCGAGACGATCCGAGGGGCCCTGAGTCGCCGAAAGATCGTTCCAAGACGCCCAAGATTGCCTCCAGACGGCCGAAGACGCCGCCAAAAAACCGCGGGGTGCCTCAGGAGGCCCTCCAAGAGAGTGAACAAGCAGAAACCTCCCAGGCATTCGTCACCAGGGCCTCTTGGAACGCCCCGGCGCCCAATGAATTGGCGAGCGAAAAACGTGCGCCGAGCCAAAGCGGGAGCGCAACTTTGAGAAAATTTCGCTCGGCGCCCAAGCGGGAAGGTCATTTCATTCACTTCGAGCGGGGGGGGGAGGGGGTGTGCCGCGCCCAATTCTTGCCATGCACTTTTGCGGGGTGGACGACAAGAACAGCTATGTGGGCAGGGAAAATTAGCATGGCATTGTTTCTGACAAGGTGGCCCCTCCCGCCTTGGGGTTGTCCCAAAAATCCGCGCGCGATGTGCGCCGTGCCCGATTCCTGCCACGCATTTCGCATCGTCGACGACAAGACAGGCCATGATGAAAAGAAAAACGGCAACTCTGTATTGTTGTTTTACAATCAGGATGGGAGGGCCCGCAGCCCGCATGGACGTCCGCGCGCGATGTGCGCCGCGTCCCGTTCTTGCCACATATTTCGCACCGTCGGCGACACGGTAAGCCATGCTGAGAGGAAAAAGCGGAGACTGCGTATTGATTTTTACCGGCAGGAAGGGCAGGCCCGGTATGACGGCCGCGCGCGATGTGCGCCGCGTCCCATATGTGCGCCGCGTTCCACTGCTGCTACATAGTTCACACCGTCGGCGACAATGCAGGCCATGCTGAGAGAAAAAACGACGACTTTGTATTGATTGTTCACAGTCAGGATGGGCGGGCCCAAATTGACTGCCGCGCGCGATGTGCGCCGCGTCCCATTCCTGCCACGCTGTTCGCATCGCCGACGACAAGAAAGACGATGCTGAGAAGAGAAACGGCCACTTTGTATTGACTTTTTAAAGTCCGGATGGGAGGTCCCGGATTGGGTCGCTATCGGCCGGAATACGAGGTAGGTGGGGGTATATAGCAATAAGGAACAAGGATGTGGGTGTGGGTCAAGCTAGCCAGCTCGAGCGAATCAAGCATGGCATGCCCATTCCCACCCGCCCTCCCACAACATAAGAAACAGTGATGGCACAACTGGGGGTTGCGCGGGCATTTCAGTGCGAGTGGAGGATACCCCAGGACACCGCATTGACGTCCGCGCGGGATGCGCGCCGCGTCCCATTCCCGCCACGCATTTCGCATCGTCGACGACAAGGCTGGTCATGTTGAAAGGAACAACGGACACGTTCCGCCCTCCCACAACATAAGAAGCAATGCTGGCGCAACTGGGTGCTGGCGCGTAGTGGTAGTAGTCGTAGTAGTAGTAGTAGTAGTAGTAGTAGTAGTAGTAGTAGTAGTAGTAGTAGTAGTAGTAGTAGTAGTAGTAGTAGTGGTGATGGTGGTGGTGGTGGTGGTTGGTGGTGGTGGTGGTGGTGGTGGTAGTAGTAGTAGTAGTAGTAGTAGTCGTAGTCGTAGTCGTAGTAGTAGTAGTTAAGTAGTAGTAGTAGTAGTAGTAGTAGTAGTAGTCGTAGTAGTAGTAGTAGTAGTAGTAGTAGTAGTAGTAGTAGTAGTAGTAGTAGTAGTAGTAGTAGTAGTAGTAGTAGTAGTAGTAGTAGGCGTAGTCGTAGTCGTAGTCGTAGTCGTAGTAGTAGTAGTAGTAGTAGTTTAGTAGTAGTAGTCGTAGTATTCGTAGTCGTAGTCGTAGTCGTAGATAGTAGTAGTAGTAGTAGTAGTAGTAGTAGTAGTAGTAGTAGTAGTAGTAGTAGTAGTAGTAGTAGTAGTAGTAGTACGTAGTAGTACGTAGTAGTAGTAGTAGTAGTAGTAGTAGTAGTAGTAGTAGTAGTAGTAGTAGTAGTAGTAGTAGTAGTAGTAGTAGTAGTAGTAGTAGTAGTAGTAGTAGTAGTAGTAGTAGTAGTAGTAGTAGTAGTAGTAGTAGTAGTAGTAGTAGTAGTAGTAGTAGTAGTAGTAGTTAGTAGTTAGTAGTAGTAGTAGTAGTAGTAGTAGTAGTAGTAGTAGTAGTAGTAGTAGTAGTAGTAGTAGTAGTAGTAGTAGTGGTAGTAGCACTAGTAGTGGTAGTGGTATTGGTTGTTGTACCTTGTATTGTTGTTTACAGTCAGGATGGGAGGGCCCGCAACCCGCATGGACGTCCGCGCGCGATGTGCGCCGCGTCCCGTTCCTGCCACATATTTCGCACCGTCGGCGACAAGGCAAGCCATGCTGAGAGGAAAACGCTGAGACTTCGTATTGATTTTTTCAGTCAGGATGGGCGGGCCCAGATTGACGGCCGCGCGCGATGTGCGCCGCGTCCCATATGTGCGCCGCGTCCCATTGCTGCCACATATTTCGCACCATCGGCGACAAGGCAGGCCATGCTGAGAGGAAAAAACGAAGACTTTGTATTGATTTTTTGCAGTCAGGACGGGCGGGCCCAGATCGACTGCCGCGCGCGATGCGCGCCGCGTCCCATTCCTGCCACGTTTTTCGCATCGTCGACGACAAGAAAGACGATGTTGAGAAGAGAAACGGCCACTTTGTATTGATTTTTTACAGTCCGGATGGGAGGTCCCGGATTGGGTTGCTATCGGCCGGAATACGACGTAGGTGGGGGTATATAATATTAAGGAACAAGGATGTGTGTGTGTGTGCGACCCCGCGATTCGACAGTGTGGTGAAATGTCCCACCCTTGCCACCGGTAGACACCAGCCAGGAATTATTTAGAAATGGCAGCTCGCGCACGACCCCTTGACGAGGGTGGAGACGGCAGGATGGGAGTACGGAGGTGGGAGATGATGATGATGATGATGATGATGATGATGATGATGATGATGAAGCTGAACAGGAAGACGATGCTGTTGCTGCTGATGATGATGATGCTCATGCTGATGCTGATGCTGCTTCTGATAATGAGGATGAGGACGAGGATGAGGATGGTGATGGTGATCGTGGTGCTCATGCTGATGGTGCTGATGATGATGATGGTGAGGATGAGGATAAGGATGAGGATGAGGACGATGATGAGGATACTGATGACGATGCGTATGATGATGCCGCTGATGATGATGATGATGATGAGGAATATAAGTATGATGAGGATGATGAGGATGAGGATGAGGACGATGATGGGGATGAGGATGATGAGGATGATGAGGATGATGCTGATGCTGATGCTGCGGATGGCGGCGATGATGATAACAGTGATGAGGATGGCAATGATGACAATGACAATGATGATGCTGATGAGGATGAGGATGAGGATGAGGATGGTGACGATGATGATGATGATGATGATGATGCTGATGATGGATATGATGATGATGTTCTTGTTGATGATGATGATGCTGATTATGTTGATGACGATTATGATGAGGACGATGCTGCTGATGATGATGATGATGACGATGCTGATGAGGGGGAGGAGGAGGAGGAGGAGGAGGAGGAGGAGGAGGAAGAGGAGGGGGAGGAGGAGGAGGATGAGGAGGAAGAGAGAGAGAGAGAGGACCGGCCTCACTCGGCCCCCCCTTGCTTCCGAAAGCACCGTTGCTGCCGAGGAACCAAGCCTTTGAGCAGGCCCAGCAGGGGTGGAACACGGCCAGGGACGGACTCGGAGAGGCCTGCAGCCAGCCTCTCTCTCCTCATCTCATTCTCTTTGTCTCCCTTTCGATCTGTCTGTACGTCCTGTCCTGTCCGTCCGTCCGTCTGTCTGTCTGTCTGTCTGTCTCTCTGTCTGTGTGTCTGTCTGTCTGTCTCTCTCTGTCTGTCTGTCTGTCTCTGTCTGTCTGTGTGTCTGTGTGTCTGTCTATATGTCGTCTGCCTGCCTGCCTGCCGGCCTGCCTGTCTGTCTGTCTGTCTGTCTGCCCGTCTCTCTTGTCCTTTCTCCTCTCTCTCTCTCTGCCTCTCCTTCTCGCTGTGCATGTGCATATATTGGTGTACTTCGATACATGCATATATGTGTATATTAATATGCGTGTATGTATGTAACTATACACTCACACGCTGCACCCCGCAATTGCGGATAAGAGTGAGGGTGCGACGGGGACGTCGGCAGTTCGCGAGGCTCTGAAGAAGCCGCGCCCGCTGGCTCTTACTTTTATTCAACGAGCTCGCCGCAGGCGCAGTTTTTGCTCGTTAAAGCAATGCGGATGTGTCGCGCGGTGGGTCGTGGGTGGGAGCGGGCCGGGTCGCGGGGGGGACGACGACAACGAACAACAACCGCAACAACCACAACAACAACAGCAGCAATCATTTTATGACTGTCCGCCGTTTTCGTCTTCGATCGTACCTTTTTTGGGGGGTATACCTTTCTTTCTTGCATGCCAGGCCCCGGCAAGCAGCGGGGCGGCCGCGAACCGTCGGCCTGGCCAGCGGCTGCGCAGATCGGCGGCAACCCGACCCCAAGAGGGACGGACAAGGGGCCGACTACGACGACGACGACGACGACGACGACGACGACGACGACGACGACGACGACGACGACGACGACGACGGCGACGACGACGACGGCGACGACGGCGACGACGACGACGACGACGAGCGAACGCGAAAACGAGAGAGAGAGAGAACGACAGCAAGGCCACGAAGGGCACGAAGTAGGCCACGAAGGACGACAGCGGGGGCACGAAGGGAATGTGTATGGGGCCACGAAGAGCGCGAACGAGCGGGGGCCACGAAGGGCACATAATGCGGGGCCACGGAAGGCGACGACGGGGCCACTGAGGGTAGCAAGTGGGCCACGTAGGACAGCGAAGGGGCCGCAAAGGGCGACGGCGGGCCTCGAAGGGCATGCACATGGGGCCACGACGGGCGCGAACGAGCGGGGGCCACGAAGGGCATGCGTATATTGGGCCGCGGAGGACAAGGACGGGGCCATTGAGGGCAGCAAAGGGGCCACGAAGGCCAGCGATGGGGGCCGCGAAGGGCGACAGCGGGGCCACGAAGGGCATGCAGATGGGACACGACGGGCGCGAACAAGCGGGGGCCACGAAGGGCATGCACATATGGTGCCACGAAGGGCAGCGACGGGGCCGCGAAGGGCTGCAACGGGGCCACGAAGGGCAGCGAGGGGGCCACGAAGGGCCGAAACGGGGCCACGAGGGGCAGCGAGGTGCCCGCGAGAGGTTGCAACGGGGCCACGAAGGGCATCGAGGGGGGCCACGAAGGGCTGCAACGGGGCCACGAAGGGCAGCGAGGGGGCCACGAAGGATTGCAACGGGGCCACGAAGGGCCGCGAGGGGGCCACGAAGGACAGCAATGGGGCCACGAAACAAAGCGAGGGGGGCCACGAAGGGCATACACATATGGGGCCACGAAGGGCAGCGAGGGGGCCACGAAGGGCATGCACACATGGGGCCACGAAGGGTAGCGAGGAGGCCACGAAGGGCTGCAACGGGTCCACGAATGGCAGCGGGCAGACCACGAAGGGTTGCAACTGGGTGGCTGCAGAGCTTGGCTGCCGAAGTCTGACCATTTCTGAACCCCCGCCAGTGTTCAAGGCGTTGGGCCTGCAGGGGTCCGTAGCCATTCTGGCTCAAGCCAGTGGCTCAAGTTTTGCCCAAGACATTGTGGCAAGTCTTCAGGCATTTGGAACGCGGGGTTTTGCGCGTGTTGCCGACAAGCCCCTGTTGCCTCACCGTTGCCGACATGAACGTCGCGGTGTTTGCAGCAGCGTTCGCCATCCTGCTCGTCGGCCGCGGCGGCGTCGCTGCCGACGGCATGACCGAAACCCTGGAGGAGCGCCGCCTGGTGGAGGACGACTCGCACAACTGCGACGACGCCACGAGCGAGGCCGACGGAGTGGGGCTGCTCCAGTCACGGGCGCTGAGCCCCGGCGGGACGCAGACCGCAGACAACAGCAAGGACGAAGCGCAGGATCTACCGATCGATATCAAGAAGCTCAACTCTACAATTCATCACGGGCATGAACATCCTGGCGACGTGTATCTCCGTTCCTCTGAATGCAATTTCCATTGCCCAGAACCAAACACTTACTGCTGCAAGGACACTCCGTCTGTCATGCAAACTTGCTGTGTTGATGGGTATATTGCCCCAGGATACGAATGCCTGTGGCTGGATATTAACAAGTGCACGAGGGGATATTGTTGTCAAGGGAAAGCGGGTGGTGACGGATTTCATTGTAAACCGTGCTAGATGTCCTCCACCGAGTGGGAACGATGTCGTCCGTGCTAGACCGTTTGTCCTCCGCTCTGCCCGCTCGGTTTAACGTCCTGCCCGTTCGCATGGCAACTTGCACGCTTGCTTTCAAGTCGTGCCCGCCGGGCCTGTCCGCCCGACGCGACCCCCAGCGAAGCGAGATGGGCACCGTGAGATGGAGGAGACGAGCCTTGAAAAGAACGAGGAGGGGGAGGTGGAGAACGGGGTGAACCGGCGGTGAGGAGCTGGGTTATGAGGTAGGGGAGGTGGAGGAGGAGATCAGGCTAGCCGCGTTACTCGGCAGGAGTCGTTGTGGCATTTGTTGGTTGAGGCTGTGGTCGGGTCTTGGAGAGATCCTTCCCCTCCCAGAATGCCCCAGCAGCCTGGTGCGCATTTTGCATTCCGCCAGCTGGAACTGCCGCTCCTTTGGGAAAAGGCGTCGCGCGCCACAGGGTTGCGGTTGTGTGGCGCGCGGTGCTGGCTGCTCGCTCGACTTCTCTCAGTTTTTTTTTTTTTGTTCCCCCTCTCTCTCTCTCTCTCTCTCTCTCTCTCTCTCTCCCTCTATCTCTCTCTCTCTCTCTCTCTCTCTCTCTCTCTCTCTCTTTTTGTTTGCTCTCTGTCTCTCTCTCTCTCTCTCTCTCTCTCTCTCTCTCTCTCTCTCTCTCGTTTCTCTATCTCTTTCTGTCTCGATTTCTCGCAGCGCACCTCTCTCGTTTACCCTTGTCTATCTGGCCGCTTCTCTTGCATGATCCATCGATTCGTTCGTTACTGCAGCACGTCGGCGCGAAAGGGGCGCTCTCGGGAGGGGATGAACCAGCGCTTTGCCGGACATACAACAAAAAAAAGGCGTTGGGCCTGCAGGGGCAGGGTTCTCGCGTGGCGGCCCGAGCAGGCGCTCGTGTCCCTGGCCCCGTTGCCTCCTCTCGAGTCGCCCCTTTGTCGGTCCCGGTGCCTTCACCGATATGTCTCCGAAGGGCAGCGAGATCCGAATTCTTAAGTCATATGTGAGGGAGTCCTAAGCGTGAGCGCGACTCCTGGGTACCTGACTGTCGGGAGCGCGGCAATTGAGTAAATTGCTGGCAGTTCCGACGCAAGGGCGCTATTCTTGAGTAAATTGCAAGCGAGTCTTCAGCGAGAGCGCGACCCCAGAGCGCCGAGAAAGCGATTCCTGAATCAATTGCGATGAAGTCTCACGCGAGAGCGCGGCTCTTGAATCAAATGTGAGGAAGTCTCGGGCGGGAGCGGGGGCCCTGGCTAAATTCATAGGAGCTCTTAGGCGGGAACCGTTTTTATTGTAACCCAGGGGCCGACAGCACAGTTTGAGGATGAAGATTTTCATTTTTTTCAAACAAAAGAGGTGCGAGCGCCGGGAGGGGCACTTCAGTTGAAAAATGCAATGTGCAACAGGGGGATCAACCATATTTATTTTTCAGTAGTGAGAGTTCAACAAGCATGTTCAGATTGTTCGTTTTTATATATATATATATATATTATCTGCTCGCTGGACATTCAACACGTATGTCCCCAACCCTCGATACCCGCCCTTTTCGTCTTCGATCGTGCCTTTTTGTGTGTATTTATTTATGTTTGTTTCTTTCACCTGCAACGTGTATCTCGTGCAGCCCTTTACTCAGGGTAAGAAAGGGCGGATGTAAAGAAGGGGCCACGAGGAGGGAGGCGAAGAAAGCACGAGAGTGAGAGGGTAACAGGAGGGGGGGCAAGGAGCAGAAATCACGTGGCAGTTCCAGACGGGCAGACCTGGCGGGTAGACCCTAACGGGCGGGTCGGGAAGGCGGGCCCAAGCGGCCAGTTCGAGCAGGCGGGTTGCTGAAGCGCGATTACAGAATGAAACGCGAGGAAGTCTCGAGCGATAGAGCGATCGCTAAATAAATCGCGAGGACATCCACAGCGATAGCGCGATGCCTGGGTGTCGAGGGCGCGGCGTCTAAACACATTGCTACAACATCCCGCACGGGAGAGCGATCACTGCATAGACGGCGAGGAGGTAAACAGCAGCAACAACAATGCGCACCGCATAACCTCACTTCAGCCACGCGTCCAGGGACATTGAATGACCGCTCGGCCCACTTCACTCTGACATGTAATAATATATATATATATATATATTATATATATATATATGCATATATATATATATATATATATATATATATATATATGTATACATATATGTATACATATATCCATATATATATATATATACCCATATATCCATATATTTATACGAAGCAACCCGCCGTCGCGGATAAGAGTGACGGGGCGGCGGGGGCGTCTGCAGTCTGCAAGGCTCAGAAGAAACCCGCCGCAGACGTTTATTTCCAATGTATACAACCAGCCCGCCGCAGGCGCCGATTTTTCGTTAAACCAGTGTAGGAATATCGCGGGGTGGGTCGCGGGTGGGTCGCGGTGGGAAGCGGGCCAGGCGGCGGGTGGGTCGCGGGTTGGTCGCGGGCGGGCCGCGGGCTGGGCGCGGGTGGATCGCGGATGTGTCGCGGGGTGGGTCGCGAGTGGGTCGCGGGTGGTTGGGGGGGCGGGTCGCTGGGGGGGTCGCGGGTGGGTCGCGGGCGGGGTCGCGGGGGGGACAACTCCAAAAAACAAGCAATCACAACAATATGAATCCGCACCGCCGATTCCCATCCCAGCCACGCACCTTGGGACAGAGAATGCCCCCTCGGCCCCCTCATTTTGATATATATAATATATATATATATATATATATATATATATATATATATATATACCTATACGACCACCCTGCGGGTGATAAGGAAGTTTGGGGGGGAGGGGCCCAGCAATGGGCAACAGTGGTGAATGTTGTTGTGACAGTGCCAGTGGGGATAGTTGCGTTGCCGTTCGCTCTTGGGAGCGTTGGTGTCGAGTTGTTTACGTCACCCTTCGCTCTTTGGCGCCTCGGTACCATTCGGCCCTCCCCCTGCCTGGGAACCTGCCCAGCTTACGCAACAGCAGCTAACGGCGCCATTTGACGACCGAGGATCGACGACCGAGGATCGACGAACATGGCCCCCAAGACCCTCGGAGGATGATGAAGCTAAGATGGGGAGGAGGAGGGAAAAGGAGAGGTCCAGAACCGAGGGGTGCGTGGTGGAGGAGAACCTGAGAGAAGACCTCATTCGCTGTCTCATTCGGTCTCACTACCGATCTCACAATCGATATCACTATCCACGTCATCATCATCATCATCGACATCACCATCAACATCATCATCATCATCATCCACATCATCATCATCATCATCGTATGCATCATGATCATCAGCACCACCATCATCATCATCGTCATCATCATCATCATCATCATCATCATCATCATCATCATCATCATCATCATCATCAATGTCGTCATCATAGCTAATCACAAACAGCAACACCATGAAGGCCATCACAACCATCAGCATCGCACAATCGATCTGACATTCGGTCTCACTACCGATATCACAATCGATCTCGCAATCGACGTCATCATCATCATCATCATCAACATCAACATCATCATCATCATCATCAACATCATCATCGCCATCATCAACATCATCATCATTATCACCATCATCATCATCACCATCATCATCATAATCATCATCATAATCATCATCAACATCATCATCGGGACACCGACGGGACACGGACGGGACACCGGCGGGACACCAGCGGGACACCGCGCCGCCCCGGCCGCCCGGAAGGGAATCATTTCGTCCGGCCGCGCCTCAGCCACACGGGACACCAGCGGGACACCGGCGGGACACCGCGGGGCCCCGGCCGCCCGGAAGGGAGTCATTTGGTCCGGCCGCGCCTCAGCCACACGGGACACCAGCGGGACACCGGCGGGACACCGCGGGCCCCCGGCCGCCCGGAAGGGAGTCATTTGGTCCGGCCGCGCCTCAGCCACAGGAGACTTTCTCTCGCCCGCCCACGCAGCTTCGCCTCGCCCGCACGGCACGCACGAACACGAAACCGAAATCGATTTCCCGGTAGGGGGGCTCTCCGTTCCACTTCGATCTCACCCCCCAACCTCCGATGTTCATGTTACACGAGCAGGACGAGGAAGAGGAGGGAGATGAACGGGCTGGGTGGAGGAGGAGGAGGAGGATGAGGATGAGGCGGAGGAGGAGGAGGAGGAGGAGGAGGAGGAGGAGGAGGAGGTGGAGAAGGAGGATGAGGATGAGACGGGCTGGGTGGAGGAGGAGGAGGAGGAGGAGGAGGAGGAGGAGGAGGAGGAGGAGGAGGACGAGGACGAGGACGAGGACGAGGACGAGGAGCAGGAGGAGGAGCAGGAGCAGGAGCAGGAGCAGGAGCAATGCGTGGAGGAGGCCAAGGGGAACGAATCCGATCAAACAGAGGAGAGAGAGAGAGAGAGAGAGGGGGCAGGACGTCGGGGGACGGGTCGGCGAGAGGCGCGGCCATGCGTTCTCCAGCAGCCACGCGCCTTTGGGACACCCGAGCCGCTGCCCGAGGGAGAAGCATGCCTCCGAGACGCCCTGGGAACAGAGCTGCGGAGAGATCTCGTGCCTCAGGCCTGCCAGCACGGCCGCCCCCCCGCCAAAGGGCGAAGGGCAGGAAGGCCCACGACGGTCTCGGCATCCGCGGGCGAGCACGACGCCGTCGAGGGCTATAGCACCACGAGACCCGCGCCCACGATCTCGAAGCCGGCGCTTGGCAGGAGGCCCGGAGCGCCATCGAGCTCCCTGCGCCTGCGCGCCGGGCCCGGGCCCGCCCGTTCGGATGCAACTCCTGGGAGGTCAAATTCTGATTTGGCCCTGGTGCGAAATCGGGCTTGATCCCGCTCAGTCCCGCTGAATCCGGCTTACTCCCGCTCAATCCAGCGCAGTCCAGCTTGATCCGAGGCCCACTCCGGCGCAACAGCCCCCCAATGGGGCTTCATCCTTGGTCATCCTCCCGACGAAAGCCTCCCAGTAGTTGCCTCCTAGCGCCCGCAGCGGCGGCCGCGCGCCCAGACACCGCCGAGGCCGTGCCGGGGCCCAGGCCCTCGCCGGCCACGGCCGCGGGCGGCAACCAGGCCGCCGCGCGGCTGCCTCGCGCGCCGCCCCTGCCTCAGCAGCGGGCAGCGCGGGCAGCGCCGCCGCGGCTGCGGGCCCGGCCAAGAGGCGTGGCCACCGCGCGCAGGGGCGCCCCGCCACCCGGACGCGCCACGTGCACGGCAGCCGCCGTGGTGACGACTCGGGCACATTGGGGTTCCCCGATCGCCAAGATGGATGCGCTGGTGGCGCCTTGCGCGCCTGTTCTTGGTCACCCCGCGGCCCCCAAAAAGCCGCGCACCAAAGGTCACTCTTACCCAGGGTCACTCTTGCGCGTATCCGATGGTGGCAGTGCCGTCGATCGAGGAGCAGGATGCGGAAGATGAGGTGGGCAAAGGGGAGGAGTCGGATCAGGGGCAGCGATAGGGGGGGGTAGACCTGAAGGGGGGGGTGCATCGACCTCCAATCGCCCATTCGTCGTCCACAGGGGCCCGATGGCCCTTTTTCGCCCAGGAGAGTGCGCATGTGCTATCGGGGGCCTGTCGCCGATCCATCGGCGATGTACCGCCGTCGATGCCAGGTCGATGCGTTCCCACCTGTACCATTCCCCTCCCCGATAGTTGCCTCTCAGGGGATGGGGAGGGGAGGGAAGTGGAGCACAGAAGGATACTCCAGATTTCGTAACAAAGGGAGGGGGGTCTCATTTCGGGGGGGGGTCTCTTCCAGGCTATCTTGGAGGGCCTTGGGGGTCTGGGGACGATGTTTTGTAGGGTTCTCCCACAGGGGGAGGTCTGAAATGGCTTGTCTAGGAGGGTCCAGACCCCCTCCCTTTTATTACGACATCTGGAGTAACGAGGAGGACCAGGAGCAGGATGAGCATAATAGGCGTGTATCGAGGCGTTTGTTCGGCTTGCCCGCTCGCGGGGGCGGACCTTGGAACAGGGCATGAGCTGCTTGTTTGGCACGAGGGCGGGCCCGTATGGGAACAAGTGCGCTCGATCGCGCTGTGAGAGATCTCGGCGCCTGTGCTAATTAGCCTTGCGTCTGTCTGGTAACCTCGTGGCCCACGAGCGGTGAGGAGCTGCAGAAGTTCCGCTCCCCCTGTTTTTCTCTATCATTGAGAAGCGGATCGCCGAACGACGAAAGAACACGAGACGTGAGCTGTAAACTCGCGCGTCGATGGTGGGATTCTTGGCCCCTTGCGAGCTAGGGCGAGTAGACTCCGCAGACTAGTCCGTCCGTCGTCGGTTCACGCTCGCCGCAGCGAGTCGGTCGACCCTGCAGCCTTTCTCGCAGCATGTTCTCAATCTGTGCGCGCCTAACCATGCTTCTGGCCCTTGCCATGATTCACCCTCCCTCTTCTCGAAAATTGCCCTGGACCAGAATCAGCGACTTTTGGCCCCTCTTGTCTGCTGCGTCCCCCCTCGACACCCCCCCGCGGCGCCTGCGCCGCCGTCGGGGGAGAGGGGACGGGGCGGGCTCTCCAGCCGAGGCGATCCAGCAGCTGGGCGGCTACGTGCAGGAGCCCGAGCGGCGTGCGGTGCGCCTCGCGGCGCCCGCGGCAGGCACGTCGGAGCAGAAACCGCCCTGCCGGCAGGTGCCCCGCAGAAGCTTCTCATCAGCGGAGCGGCCCGGGGTCCCACGGAAGCCCTGGGGCACCTGGGGGCAATCCACGATCGACGCATAATTTGCCACAGCATGTCGCACGACGAGAGTTTCTGTGGTATTCGTGTGCTGCTGCTTCGGCTTGCCGCTGGGCCATTCGCCGTCTTTCCGGACGCGTCCTGAACCGGGGTGCACAACAAAAAGGCGTATGCATAGCGTTTTGTTGGAGGTCCGCGCGGATGTCCTGGGTTGGAGTCGGCTCCCCCCGTAGCGGATCCTCCGGCAGCGAGGACCGCGCCGACCCGAGAAAGTCAGCGAGGACCTGCGGAAGTTTATGTTCATGCCGCCCAGAGGGCAAGAGGTGGCTTGGAGGAGGCTTGGTGGCAGAATTCGATTGGATCCGGAGGCGCGTCTGCAACGGTGGGTTAGGCAGAGGCGGAGAGTGAGAACAAGAACATCGAGAAATGCTGGGCGCTGCTGCAAGCGTCCAGTGAGCCAGCTAGTGATACAGAGCGGGTGGTTCGTTCAATCGACTGTCAAGGCAAGGGCTTCTGCCAAGAATCGGGGACACACCTCTTTGATGCAGAAGAGGTCCCCTCAAACAATTCAAACGGCTTGCGGCATTCCGCCGGCCCCCATGTCAGTCCATTCGTCCAGAGTCGCGCCACCGTCCCTGGCCTATGGGTCGGGAGCCTCGGGGGCGCATATGAGGGCATCCTGGAATGCGTCTCAAGGGCCTCTTGGAGGGCTCTCGGGGGCATCTGAGGAGGAGGTGGTGGTCTCTTGCCTCGCAGGGCACTCTTGGGGCCTCCTGGGAGCTCTCAGGGGGGCTTCTTGGAGGCCTCTGGACGCTTCTTTGAGTCTCTTGAGGGCCTCTTTGGCCGTCTTGGGGCAATCCTGGCCTGTCTGACGCCGTCAGAGGCCGTCTTGGGGGCCTCTCTGAACCGACGGGGGGCCCTCTTGGGGCGGTTCAGGGCCGTCTTGGAGCCCATCTTGGGCGTCTTGGAGGTTTTTTGGGCCGCCTTTGTGCCCTCGTGGGGCCGTCTTGGCCTCTTGGGCCGTCATGGGGCCATCTTGGAGGCTTCTCGGGCGAGCTTGGGGCGATATTGGCTTTCTGAAGTCCGGCAAGAAGCACATGCCCAAATATGGCAAAACCTATCAGGAATTACAGGATTTGGGCCTCTTCGGGCCTGCTGGCGGTCCTATTGGATGCCTCTTGGGCCGTCTTGGATGCTTCTTGGGCGCTTCTTGGGCCGTCTTGGGCCATCTTGGGGCCATCTTAGGCCGTCTTGGATGCATCTTGGGCCGGCTTGGAGACATAGTGCGGTGTTATTGTGTGTTCTCTTGGGGCAATATTGACCGTCTTGGAGGCCATCTCGGCCTTCTTGGACGCCCGCTTGGGGCCGTCTTGGGGCCCTCATGGGGCCGTCTTGACCTCTTGGGCCTTCAAGGGGTTATCTTGGAGGTTTCTCGGGCGATCTTGGGCCGATCTTGGGGGCCGTCTTGGGCCGTCTTGGGCTGCCGGAAGGGCGAAAAGAAGCAAATGGCCAAATATGGCGAACCCTACAGCGAATATATGGTTTTGGCCTCTTCGGGCATTCCTGGAGGTCCTCTTGGAGGCCTCTTGGGCCGTCTTGGATGCCTCTTGGGGCGTGGGCGCTTCTTGGGCCGTTTTGGGCTATCTTGGCCATCTTAGGCCGTCTTGGATGCATCTTGGGCCGTCTTTGAGACATCTTGAGGCCATCTTGGGCTCTCTTGGGGCAATCTTGGGGCAATGTTGTCCGTCTTGGAGACCATCTTGGCTGTCTTGGAGGCCCTCTTGGAGCCGTCTTGGGGATCTCGTGCGGCGGTCCTGGGGGCCTCCGGGGCCGTCTCTGAGGCCGTCTTGGGTAGTCTATGGCGGTCCTCATCGTAGTTTTCGTCGTCGTCTTCCTTTTCCTCGTCGTCGTCGCCGTCGTCGTCGTCGTCGTCGTTCTCGTCTTCGTCGTCGTCGTCGTCTTCGTCGTCGTCGTCGTGGTCGTCGTCGTTCTTGTCTTCGTCGGCGTCGTCGTTTTCTTCGTCGTCGTCGTCTTCGTCGTTGTTGTCATCGTCGTTGTCGTCACCGTCATCGTCGTCGTCGTCCTCGTCGCCGCCGCTGTCCTCGTGGCGGGCGTGCATCCCCGCGGGGGCGTGCGGGCGGGCGGGCGGCGAGCGGGCGGGCGGGCGGGCGCGCGGGCGGGCGGGTAGGCGGGCGGACGGGCAGGCACGCGCGCGCGGGAGGGCGGCTGGGCGTATGCGCGTGTTGGGCGGCTGGGCGACCCGCCGACGGACCAGCCAACCAACCAACCAACAGTAGCCATTCTGGCTCAAGGCATTCTGATCCAAGGTCTTCTTTGGCTCAAGCCGGGATGCGTTGTCTTGTCGGAGTTTCGGATGCTGGACATCGGTCGATGGTCTCGAGAAGGCGCTAGTTCCCTCGAAGCGTCGATCAAGAACTGCGATCGGACAAAGCAATGGAGCGCAGCACTGCGGTTGCTCCGCGAAGGAATTCAATTTGGTGCGCAACTCAACCCAAGCCACTACATTGCGACGGCCAGCGCATGCCGAAAAGGCGGGCAGTGGCAGCACGCACTGTCGGTACTGAGCGAGATGCGGGAGGCGAAGCTGGAGCCCAACATCACCTGTACTACAAATTCTAGCCGCAGCGCGTGCGAGGAGAGCCTTTCTCCGGGGGTGGACAGACCTCCTACCCTGACACGTCGATTCAGGAATTGGCCGCTTTCGGTTCGCGAGAGGGCGTCGCGGCCGTCATGTTTGCGGGTCCAGGTCCGTCGGTTTCGGTCCCAGGCCGCTTTCACTGGGGGGAGGTTCACTTAAAGGGAGGTTTGTCCACCGCCGATATTTGAATCGAACGCCCGCACCGGGATGCCCCGAGAGCCCGCGGGGCGTGCGGAGACCACCGCCCCCGCACGCCAAAAGGCACGCCCCGGGGCGGGCCCCCCGCGCGGCTCCCGGGCTCCCAGCTCGGCCCAGGACCTTGGCATCGCTCGGACGTGTGCATTTTTTTCTCGGCGGGAACCATCGAGGACCATCCTGGACCATCGAGCAAAAAAACACGCACGAAACCGACAAATGCACAGGAAATGGACGTCCGAGCGACGGCAAGAGACGGCCCCCCAGAAAGCCTCCAGGACGCTCCCCGACGGCCCCAGAGGGCCCCTGGGCGCTCGCCGACGGCTCCACGACGCCCGCATCGCCCCGAGACGGCGTCCTGCAAGGTCTGAACCGAGCCCCGTACCCCACACCGAGCCCTCTCGCCCCCCGACGGCCTCCCAGATAGCCTCCAGGACGCCCACCAACGGCTCCAGAAGGACCTTCCCATGACGCCAGAAGTTGCTCAACCCCACCCCAGGCCTCGGACCATTCTGAGCGTCCCGAGACCCTCTCGGGAGCTTCTTGTCGGCCGCGGCCGCGGCATGCTCTCATGGTCTCAGATACTCGTGTTACCCAGGCCTCGCAGTATTGATGACAAGGGGGGGGGCCTTTCCATGCGCTTGCAAGCCCCAGACCAAGTCCCACGTCCCACCCCGACCCCTAGACACTCTGACACATTCCAGATCTTCTCAACCTTCTCGTGTCGCTCCACAGCCGCATCACGCTCCAGACCCCACCCTGGCGCCCACACCACTCCGACCACTCTAGCGTGCCGCACACACCACCCCATGCCCTAGACCACTCTGAGCTGCCTCAGACCCTCTCAAGAGCATCCTGCCGAACCCCAGGCGCACTGCGCCCCAGACCCCAGCCCAAACCCTGGACCACTCTGAGCTCCCCCTGCCTTTTTCGAGAGCCTCACATGCGTGTTCTGGACCTCTAAGCCCTCAGAGCCCTTGAAGACCCGCAGCTTCGCGAAGCTGTTCAGGTTCAACGAGCTGTTCTGCCACGGTTTCGTCGCGCTTGCTTTGGATGCACGCCGCCCTCAGACCTCCACCCCAGGCACCCAGGTAGGGGTGACAGGGGGGACATTCCCTGGACCCAGAAGCCCCAAAGCAAACCACAGACCCCACACCAGGCCCTATAGACTACTCCGACTCCGACCTGTCCCAGACCACCTCAAGAACCTTGGGATCGTGTACACCCCTCCAGCCCTGGAGCAGGAAGCCCTCAGACCATCACCCCAGGCACCCCAGCAGGGGCGAGAAGGAGGACCTTCCCCTGGCCCCGCAGGCCCCACACCAAGCCCCAGACTCCACACCTGGCCGTGGACCACTCTCAACTGCCCGAGGCACCTTCAAGAGGCTCCTCTGGCTCCCAGGCCGTGGTACGCTCTCTCTGTTTCAAGATCCGCAGCCTCGGCTCGTAGGGCCCTCCTCCGCCATAGCCTGACATGTGGCATGTGGAGGAGAATATGGGAGGAGGAGGAGGAGGAGGAGGAGGAGGAGGAGGAGGAACACGAACCATACATTTCGCACTGAATATATTGTCGGCGAAAAACAAGTGTTGTTGATACTCGCGCACGGGCCTGGCGCGATGATCAAAAACTCAGCGTTTTTGTTCACGCTTGCAGCTCGGTGCCCTCGGGGCCCTCTGGGGGCTTTGAGGGGAGCCCTGAGCGGCTTCACAGCCCAACAGTAACCGCCACGGTTCAAGAAAGCCGACTTAAGGCCATCTCAACTCAAGGCAGTTACCCAGTCTCAGGCTGGTCCATTGGTAGCGCCCCAAGGTGGATCGGTCCCAGGCGCCCGATCCAAAAGTCGACCCAGAGCACGGGCATGTCGGGTGCCCGAAAGACCGTCCCGAAACCCTCCAGAGATTCCCAAGAGCACCCAACCAGATTCCCACATTGGCCCAAAGGGGCACGACGCAGGCCCCAGCAATAGCCCGCTAGCCTTCGACAGCTTCCAAAAATCAAGTTGAGCGAGATGCCGCGGCATCTCGCTCACGGAGATTTCTGGGGGGGTCCAAGAACTGGCCCGCCAGCTCCCCCCAGACTCCCAGATTCCACTGCAGAGGCCTTCAAGACACGTTCAAGACGCCCCAGAGACGCTCGCAGGAGGACCCAGCATTCCCCCGACACGGCCCCAGAGACACCCGAGCTGTTCA